AGAAATTGTATAAATGTTGTAAATAATATAGGTTAAATAAAATTATAGTACCTTTAATATTGTTTAAATTTTAGGTTTTATTTATAATTGTTTTGTACTAATTCATAATTATATATATTTTTTTTTAAGGTACTGACACAATTAATCGCCAAGCAGTCTTGTGCCATCGTGTCTTAAGAACATTGCATGATTTGTCAAGAACATCTAAAATTATTGAGCCAGAAACTTGGGAAGCTTTGTTGCTATTTCTTCTGGCCATCAATGATGCCTTGTTAGCTCCACCAACTGTAAAAGGTATTTTRAAATATTTTTACTATATTTGATTTGGTTAATTTTTATTGCATAAAATATAATACAGTCAAATCATAATAACTTAAATTTTAAGAGGAATAAAATAAAATTGACTTATGTATGTTTTGAGTTATATGTCTCAAATACAACTTTTAAATGCTTCAAAGGGCAAGAAAAAGTTCTATTTGTCAAGATTTTCAAATCATTTCAAACTCGATTATTTTTAATTATTATTATTGATATTTAATTTTTACAGAGGATGTTGGAGAGGAGTTATGTGAACGAGTATTAAGCGTTCTTATAGAAGTATGGCTTGTTGCTTGTGTACGTTGTTTTCCTTCACCTTCACTATGGAAAACATTGCGAGAAATGGCAGTCACTTGGCGCCATCGTACTGCTTTGATTCATCAATGGAATCGTATAAACTTAGCACTTACTGCTCGTGTACTGACATTCATGTATGGTCCTGGTTTTCCACAGCTAAAAATACGTATGTGCAGCTTTTATGAATTCAGTGGTGAATTCTGACTTCTAAGCATGAGTATGCTCAAGCTAATTTATAATTATTAATACATATTTTATCATTCTCTTGTATTTGGTATAAGTAAAATTATATAAATTGAGTTATCTCTAAAGTGCAATTGAATTCAATAGGTAGTAAGTACCTTAAATTCCAATAAAACCTAGTAGAAAATATTTTCATATAATACTTGGTAAAATGGTTCTTGGTTCAGCCAATATGTATCTGTAATAACAAGCGCTATATAGCGCTAGCTCACATGATCTGCTAGTAAAAGATATGATAATAATAATACATATCAGTTATCAATTAAAATAGAAATTGAATTGTAATTATTATTGTCATTTATTATTTTTATTGTAATAAAATATGTAATATAACCAATGATTTATGATAAAATGGTTTTTGTAATTCATAGACAAGCTRTAAATGCATACCATGCCCGGAGAATTCACTATTGTATAATTTATGATTTGATTAACAACTTGGAAAATCAAATTATTTTTATATTTTAGCTAATGAAGACATTCACCTGATACCATCTGGAATGACTAATCACACAATAGCTCAAAGTTGGTTTAGACTGTTACAAACTATTGGAAACCCTGCTGATCTTAGTCGACCAACTACAATTAGTCGAACTCCCAAATTTCTCCAAGCTGCACTGTCTGACCCAAATCATAGACTTGTTGATCCATCAAATCATCCATGTTTAAATGTATTACCATACAATTTTTATGTAGCTATACGTGGGATTGCRTCTCTTGTTGATGCATTTTTAGGCAAGGATTTATTATACATTTTTATTTTATTTAATATCTTCTTATTCTTGGTGATAAGAAAAAACGTTTTTAAATAGCACTTTTTAATTTTGTAAATATAAACATAAATGCACATTTTTAAAAATAGGYATTGTTTCTCATCCTACCATTATTTGGGATGACATCTTACCTTGGACTTCAGGAAACATTTCAGAAAAAAAAGAAGCAAATATTGTTACACATACACCGCCTTCGCAACGTCGATTAGCTAAAAGTTTTAGCGTTGCACCTTCACTTACCAATAAGGGTATATATTTAGTCACAAAATTAAATTGTTTCATTAAATAAAGTAGTTTATATATTATATATATATATATATATATATGTGGTTGGCAATATGCATAGGCGTGCACATACATTTTCATGTGACTTAAGAGGGCATTGTACCCGCTTGTGTTGTATTTGTCTTACACACATACTACATAGCCAATTTTTGTTCACTAGTTTCGATAGTGTACTGTTGGTTTTGATATTAGATGAATTAATTGATCCATTATTAACCTTTTAGGTAAAAGTATTAACTGTGTTCTGTCSTTGTTTCTTTACAATATTTTAATTTTTAAAGAGTTAACGAGAGTGTAAAGTATAAATATTTGGAAATGCACATAACTCATTTAAAAATTAAAATATCATAAAAAAAACCAACGAGGGAATACAGATAATGTTCTTACCTAAACGTTTAATGATTAGTCATCAATTCACATTAATTTCAAAACTAACAGCAAAATATCAAAACTAGTGAACAAAAATTTGCTATGTAGTATGTGTGTAAGACAAAAACAACATATGCGGGTTTGAGATCCTCTTAACAATACTTTTTTTWAAAACAATTTGTTGTATTCTAATAATGATGACTGCCATCCAAATAAATATTTAAAAAACGATGTAGGAAGTAGTAAACAAATATGATAAATACCATCAAAATGTAAAATTTAAGTAAAAAATCTTTGTAGATACATCTGTGTCAATTTTTTGACATTTATCATGAAAAGTTTCAGCATAATTATTAATTTGATTGTTAAATTATATAACAATTTAATTTTAAAAATATATATAAATGTATTATATCATGAATGATTAATGGTGTTGGCAGTTGGTGAAAGGCCAAGAATAAAGACTTAGGAGTATTTTTTCTTCTGTCTAGAAAGAAAGTCTATGCTTTGTGCATGCCTATGATACGATCGTAATTTATCCATTAGGATTTATTCACTAAGAAATAAAGAAAGCATTCTTTTATTTACATTACATTTTATGATGTCTATTAACTAACAGTGAAACAATATAATATTCTTCATAAAATAATAATAGTAAATAAATGTATTCATCTTAAAAAAAATAATTTAAAAAGAAATGCTTTTTTTAAACTTTGTGAATTATCTAATTAACAGCTAATTTTGCATAAAATATGAAATGGTAGTTATATTCTAATTTTTGAATTATTGCTTTAATCAAATTAATATCAATATTTTGTTAAAGTACTTATAACATTTATTTTATTATTAATACTATTATGGTTTATRATTGTAATTAAG